ACTAATTGTATTTAATATAGGCCCTTATTACATTGTTTATACATCTCAACGGGCTTCACCAGATTTTACTGTGAATGTTATAATTTTTATGTTATGGTGGTTGATTATGTAAAAAAACACATATGTGACTACCTTTAATGTTTTTGATTTTGAGATGAAAGAAAACTGATTGTAATTAAAAAAAACTGACGTTAAACAGAAGCTCTGCTCTGAACAGATTTCATTTGTTAATATTATATTTGGTACTTATAATAAATCAATATAAACCTTTTGTTAGCTTCTTCAACAGAGATTGATTAAACTTGTGCACTAATAACACTACAAGTGTAATACTTACACGCTCAGTGAATTTTGATAGTAATACACTTACTCCTGTTCAGAACCATTGGTTTTCAGTCGTTGGTATTGAGCTTTTAGTTTTATCCATGGCTAGGCATTCAATATATTTGTCTCTGGATGCACTGAGATTTTAAACTAATGAGGTTGAATAGCCAGTGCAGTGATCCAAGTCAACATCCTGCCTTCACCTCCAGAGACTTGAATTCAAACAATAATAACTGTGGAATAATTGAATGGGTCCTTAGGTTCACGAGAGGAATAAGGTATAACAACCTTAATCTTAAAATGGTCCATTGTAGTTCATCTCACACGATACTTCCTGGAGTATTCCTCAGATTTTTAATCACTGGTTAAAATGATCGCTTCCACATTGGGGATAGGTGTGTTTGATGAAAGAGGGTAAAACATCCCTGAAGTACCATTCAGTTTCGACTTGCAGGAAAGGTACAACTTCCAAAAGAAAATGAAATGATTACTCAAAACGTAATTGATGTTGTGAAGTGTTGAAAGAATGCAGTGACATTTCCTTCAGCTCACAAAATCCCCGAAGGAGTAAATTTATGAAAGTACGTGGACTCCATTGGAAATCAACCTGACACATTTTGCACCTTTGATAGAACCCAGCGTGTCCTGTCAGATTTAAACAAGAGTAACAGCTTAGAGACTTGTTAACACTTTGCTTCACTGGGACACTTATTTAAAAACAAAGATACTGTAGCTAATCGAATACAGTGTTTGTGGTGATAACAGTGAGTTACAGGGAAGTTCTGAAGGGAAACACTGTCACTGCTATGGAGAATACAATTCAAAACTATTTACGCCCTGCGCACATTTTCACTTGTCCATATTGACTGACTGTTCTCAGCTGCAGAATATTTTTTCTTTCATCAGATGAAGATGGAGTCTCTTTAAACACTGCTTTTATCCATCATGTAAGATGCTTATATATTATCCCTATCTTTCTGTCCACCACATCCTGAGTGCAGATCAACACATACTGCCTTTAAAATATTTCTTGGCAATTGGAAGAAAATTTTCAAAATTACTTCCTCTAATCAGCTGCTGAGACCTTTTTAAAATATTTTAGTAACTTTTTTGGCAGATTTTAACCAAGCTTAAGATAGAACAGTGTCTTGGCTGGCCTTGGTATTCTTTTAACAATGGTACATTTTGAATTAAACATTGTGCTACAACATTTGAAATTGTCATCCTGTCATTGAAAGTTCAGAAAACTTGTGAGGCACTTATAACATGTTTAGGTAAGAGAAACTGACCTTTCCAAAAACACTGCTAACTCAGAAAATAAATTGTATTTCAAACTCATTTCTGAGAAGGATATCAATTGAATCTGCTGAAATATAGTGACTATCATCTCGGGATACATTGGTATATTTCAAAGAGCAAGCGAATTTCTCCAGCAGGTTTTAAGTAGTTAAAAGTAGCTTTGCTGGATAGGTTGAGGTTAGGTTCTGAGTACATTTCATATTTTCCTGGGAAGATGTTCACTGCTCTGAGATAAGGAGCAATCGGGTCCTTGAGCAGAGATGTAAGAACAATGGACCACAGAAAGAAAAGGCTGCAGCCTAACTCAAGGCTGAGAAACAAGCAGGCTGTGGAAGGCTTCCCGGAAGTTGTCCATATCTCTCTCTCCGCAAAGCAGTCTGTGAAGGGAGGGTGCTATAATAATAATAATAATAATAATCCTTGCATTTGATATAGCGCTTTTCACGTCAGGAGGACGTCCCAAAGCGCTTCACAGAACACACTGTAAAGTGAATTGACTGTATATTTGTGGGCGAACACGGCAGCCAATTGCGCACAGCAATGTCCCACAAACAGTCGTAGATTGAAAATGACCAATTTATTATTGTTTTTGGTTTTGGAGGGATTATTATTAGGTGTGTGGAGTAAGGAAACTTGCCCAAGGTTTCGCCCTGCCTGGAATTGAACTCAGGTCTCTCGCTTGCAAAGCAAGTGCTCTAACCACTGAGCTACAGGACTCCTATCTCTGTGACAAGGGGAGATGGAGTTAGAAACACATAAAAGCTGTAACTTTGGAATAGTTGGAAGTGTGTAGCGGGTCAGTGCACTTCCCAGTGGAATCGATATTGATTCCACTGTATCTATGTATATGTACAGGGGTGAGGGAATTTACCTCCAGTAAGAAAGTGACCATTAAAAGTGAAAGAGGAGGAATAGTGGGTAATATGTTTTAGGTTCTGTTTACTAGGCAGAGAAGTAATAACAGTAGTAGTGGTTGGTCCATTTGAAATGCAGAAGTCAGGTTAAGCAGCTCAACTGAAGTGCTGGGCTAAGAGCTGATTGTTTCTGTTGAGTTTACATGAGGCACTCTCTGTGATTCTGTGTGATAGTCCTGTGATTAAGTATTGTTTTTATAGGATTGGTTGTGTCTGAGGGTTGACCAGGCGCCTTCCCTATTAAGTTTTGTATTACAGAATTTCTCTGTATGTTGAGGTGCGTTCTCAATCTTATTGTTTTGTCTGGAGTACTGAGCAATTCCTGAGTGTCTGCTGTTTTTTCTCAATATCTGTGTTGTTGTATGGTGCGGCCTATTGTGTTATATGGTCATATGGTTTGAATACAGGTTGTTGAACTTTACCATTTGTTTTATATATATATATATATTTGATATTAGTGGAATAAACACTATACTCTTACCACCGTCTGTTGAATTATTAACAAATCCCCTAAGATTGTAAGAACATTACAGATGTTATTGGCATTTAACGGGATCTTCAGTTTAGCAGTAATGCAGCTTCACTTTAATTATTTACATTAAGAGAATACAATAATAATGTATTAATGTATCAATGATTAAGTGTCAGAAATAAAATATTAGGATAATAAATGGTGCTACAACTGACGTATTGACATTGAAAGCTAATGCTATTGATTAAAATTGATTCAGATAATACAGATTGCAAGTCCATGCAACATCACTAGTCATTATTGAACTCCACGGATGGAGTTAAAGGGGAATTGTAATATACTGCAATATATTATTGGCCGTAATGGCCAGTTGTGTCAACTTCCTTACAATGGAACCCCAATATATGCCTTGCCCTTGCAGTTATATTAATTGGTAGAAATTTGTCGTACTTATCATAAACATCAGCAAATTTCATTCCACTGATGAATACGAATAGGCAATGATGTCTGGACACCGAACAGGGAAGAGGGAGATGACTGCAGGAATAGTCAAAGGGGTAGGTTTGCGGGAGACTTTTAAAGACAAAACCAGCAATTTAAAAAGCATAAAATGTGTTAATAAGTCGTGTAAGACATGATGTGTGTGCCAATATTTTTACTTGTTAGCATTTAATTGGGGTAGAATGCACTCCCCTCTTAATGGAAAAAAGTCAAAATGGAAAAAGCTTTTATTTCTTTAAATAATTAAGATAATAGATATGAGAGGAGAAATGGTGGCTGCATTTCACAGACTGTAACAATTCATGGCTTTTTGATTGGATTTTTGAAACAATATAGCTTTTAGATCAATTTTAATTATTTATTGAATATTCTATTACTGCATTTGAATTATTAAAGCCACATTCTATTACAAGAGTTGAAATATTGCTGTGTTGGTGTTGAAATTTACCTTGATGTGGTTTGCACTTATAATTAGTTTTATATGGTTGAACACATAAATATGTTTATTGTGCAGATAATATCAACATTTTTTTTTGGGGGGGTGGGGGTCAGTATTAAATCCCTGTTAATAGACAACATGATTGATCTGATCTTGTACTGCTGCAAGTTTGCTTTTTACTTGGAAGTGCTGCTGCCACCTCAATTTTCTTGACACCTTTACCACTGATTTGAATCTGTTCACCTCTTTGTTTTCCTGCTACCAGTCCTTACCAGAACTGGATACTGTTGATGTACTACAAGCAACAGTAGGATTCTGATGTAAAACAAAACTATGCTATTCTATTTATAGCGAAGAATTATTTACATAAAATGACCAGAAACAATTGTAAAAGCATTATTCAGTTTACTTGGTTTTAAGAAAAGTGGGACAAATAAATGTGCCATAACCTTTTAAGAGCTGTAACTCAAATAAAATATATCAGTTACATATTCCATTGAGGAACGGTATAAGAAAATCAAGTTTTCTTGTAGATATTGTGTTCTTTAAACCAGGAAAAGGCTTCAATTATAGTTCAATGCTTTCCTGAGCTTGATTCAATCGGATGTGCTGTTAATAGGCTAATAAAGTATACTCACCAGAATGCTTTTGATGAAAATCACAGTAGCCGGAATAGAACTTGGCATTATATTAAAACTTGGGTTAAAAAGTAGAAAGAACTCATCAGAAAAGTAATGCCTGAAGAGAAGGAAGGAGCAAGTTGCATCCTGTAGGAATTGCTTGCTTGTTTTCATTTGTAGTTTCTCTAATCTGCATCTGTGACCTGGTTATCAATAGTGTTTCCAAGCTTGTCAAATTGGCTGATGACACTAAAACAGTGAGAGTAGTCAATACAGAAGATCCAGCATTTCGTTTTACAAGAGATTTTCATTGTTTTTAAATCCTTCATAAGGAATGAAGAACCTTTCAACATGATGGGGGGGACAAAGGGCCAATGTGGTCTATCCATCACTAATATGAATGGCAGTGATCTTTTCATTATGAATTTACAATGGAATTTCCTGTTATAAGTGGCTACATGGAGAACACTGGTGTTCATACTGGTGCAAGACAGACTTACTTTCTCAAGAAGGTTTTTTTTTAGATCAAACTACAGTATGCAGCTGACTTTTTCCCAAGCCCATTTTCTCTGTCCTATTCCCCTATTAGCATCAAGTATACTGACCATACTTTATGTTGTCCCTTTATAAGTAAACTACTTTTTAGGACTGTAGCAAAACACAATTTCATCATAAATTCACATTAACTCATGCTAGGCCAATATGTTTTGATGTTTATGGGTGTTTGATGGTAATGTGTTACATTTAATGTCAAAATGGCTGTTTGTCATTTGCTTTTGCTGAATTCAATGCCTTAATCCCTGAGTGGTAAAAGGATTTAAGGCCTGAAAGGAGACGGGGTTTAAAATTTCTAAAGCCTTCCAACAAGGATTATTGCCTTCAACTTCCATAGCTGCCTTTTAGAGTCTTTGCTTTTAGAATGGCAGGATCAAATACAAGCCATGGAGATAAATTCTTCAAAATAGGATGGAAAATGTAAGATCTGGAGTTGTCCTTTAATCAGTATTGTTCATCTTCAAGGAACAAATTCACGGTCTCAGTTAACCCTTTTCCTATTACGCAGTTAAAAGCAATATTTCACTTGAACAACATATTACTTGTGACCCCGATTATGAATTGCCATTGCCTCAGAGCCCCAAATCATGTGTGGGCTGGGAGTCTGGGTGGAGACAGATTTTCAGCAGATTTGACCTCCTTCTGCTGTCAAATCATAGGATAACAATTCTACAGACTCCCCAAAACTGCATCAGGCTGTTTTTGATTGCCACCCTACTTGGTAACAGAGATACCCATTTTGAAACTAGAGCAACAGCAATACTTCTTTAACCATAAATCGTCTGTATAATTAAAGTTATAAATACATTATGTTAGTTACCTTGTAACATGTGTGCTGAGAACCAGTTATTATTATTTGAAACCTACATAAAAGGGTTAGAAGTAGCAATGAAGTGTAACTATAAGCAGTACCTGTGTAAAAGATATTAATAAATGATATCAGACAGTCACCAGTGTTTTTTCTACACCTTTTTTTTTAAGTGGGCAACACATACCCACAACTGAGATGTAGAAGACATTTCACACTGTTGAAAGTAATCGTTTCTGAAAAGTAATACGTGTGTTTTCATATCTTCTTTTACAGAAAAAGTCGATTCTTCTACTAAGCCTGATAGTGGTGGCTTCACTATTTGCAGCAGTGTTTCACTATACCCTTGAAGCACCTCCACTGTTCCTTCAGCTTTATTTTGGCCAGGCTGAAGGTTTAAACAACCGAAGAATTTTCAGCGACTTAAGGATTCAGCAGTCCCAATTTCTTCCAGGCTACATTAGTGTAACAACACAACAGGTAAATACTGTAGAGTCAGCGTTTCAAACCCTCTGATTCATTAATTCTTACAGAAACTTCCATCAGGAGGTGAAGGTAGGTAGAGACCTTGATATGTCGAAGGAAGATAAATATTGGTGGAAGGGTTGAATGGCCTTTAGTCGTTCATTCATTGTACTATGTTATAAGCTTACCTATCCTTTTAACATGTTCTTTCATTGATTTGATAATAATTTAAGCAAATTTCTACAGTATGCCCTATAGTACTATTTGCATTCATAAGATGTTTTTGATCATTATTCAAATTGATTTAGATATTTTGTGTGACCTTAATATATGACATTTTATGTTAAAGTACCTCAGGCTGCCGTATTATTTTTGCTAAGGTCAGTTCCTTAAGCCCTCAACAGGGATTTAAAATTGTAAAAGCCTCCAACATAAACTCTGCCTTCAACTTGAATAGCTACTTTTTCAGGATTTTTCAATTTATCCTGGCAGGATGGCAAGTTGGGTTTGTCTTGTAAGTAACAATATCAATGAACTCTGTGAAACCTCTGAAGCGTAAATGTAGCATATTGTTGATTAGACATTACATGGTGTGTTTTGTTATGAACGGTCTGGCTCTGGTAATCAAATGGTAGCACTAAATTATACCTTTGCAAAATGTGCAGCTGCAGATAACACTTATCACACAAAAGAAAAAAAATGAATCTTTCAGGAAGAGTGAACTCACATGTGCTGTAATGACACTCACCCCAGCTATACACAGCAAATCCACCTAATCAGATTTTGTTATGTACTAATGTTTTGAATCAATCAATAGCTCAACAGCTAAACTAATCAGTTTTACCAATACAGAGCACATTGTAACATCCCTGAAGAACAATGTGCTGTAATAACAGAACTTATTTTACATTAGTAACTCAGTTTCTGTTTTGCAGGACTATGGGGCAAGACATGGGGGAGTGGGACTAGTTGGTAGCTCTTTCAAATAGTCGAGACAGGCACGATGGGCCAAATGGCCTCCTTCTGTGCTGCAAAATTTTATGATTCTATGATCTGGGTTTATTTATCTAACTAACAAAATCGACAGAGCATGAAGCAGTGAGGTCAAAATCAATATGATTGTGAAAGTGACTGGAACTCAATTTTTGTTCTTTCATAACCTAAAAGAACAGTCTTCTCATGAATATGCTAAAATGTTGACTTCAGAGCTGCAATTTCTCGGCACCTAAATGTGTATGGCGTAAACAATGACTAAAGTAGATTTTCATCGATATGCAAATTCTACTTTCAGCATATAAAATGATCCATCATTATAATAATAGCCAGTGGCTCCTGGCTCCCTGTAAAATCTCAGAACCTGTGGCACTAGGAGGCAAAAAGCCTTTGAGTTTTGCTGCAGAAACGTATTGAAATTCTGCTGATCATTTTGGAAGAATTCTTTTCATTTATAATGTGAAGAGGATGAATATTTATGATAGGCAGATGCCAATGTGTGCAATCTATCAGCTAAATTTAAATCGAAGGCACTAACCAAGGGGACAAATATAGAACAGCGTTACAGTCTTATTGGTTTACGGTCCTTAAAAGAGTTGTGAAAAAAAAGCAATATATAGTCATGAAGTTTAATTTCCTGTACATATTAATGTAATGACATAAGACTGAAAAGAGGAACATTCCTTGCATCTTGAGTCAATGAAAATATCAAAATGACTCTTAATTCCTTACTCTTGTTATGATGAAAAACAAAACATAACAGCAGACTTAGTAGGTACATAATAAGGGTGGTCGAAAGGTGTTTTTTATGTTCTTGTTGGAGGGAGAGTTATCCTTGCATTGTTGCTCTTCATTTTTCTCCTAGTCTCTTTTCTGATCTGCTATCTACTACCTAGCCACAAGGAGATATGAAAGGACACCCAAAGAAATATTTTGCTTACAAGCCTGTTGTAAAGGTGCCCAGTCTTTCACCACTATGTTGTTCCAAACCCGTCCCCCTGCCCCACCAGTACACCCTCAAGAAACAGTGAGGTTGTAGATCAAAGTTATGTGTTTTGGAGGAATGGAAGAATTTAGTAGATGGACCAGATTTCAGACTGGATAGACTACATTCAAAATAGTTTATGATATTTCAATCACGTCCTATCAAAGAGCAGTTAACTGAATATATGAGATTGAAATTGTAGAGATAAAAGTACCTATAGATGACCAAATATGGAATTGGACTTGGATGTTCTAAATCAGATTTGCACCACAGAAATGTCACCTATAATTGGAGCCAGTCAGCTTGAATGTTATAGATTTTAATGATGGATTTCATCTTTTCTTATGCTGTTAGAGTTTATTTCAAAGCAGTTGTGAGCTACCATTTTCAGTTCTGAATTTAGATATTTCTTGATTGAGTGTAAAGAAAACACCCATTAAATCTTGGGAGTTTGTACTGTACAACAGACTACAAATCTCCAATATATCAGTAAGTGGACAGATATGCTTAGGAAGATCATAAGTCATTGAATGTATTGTAATATATTGTTAATGGTACTAGTAGTGAATTATATCATAGTGAATATCACATTGTTTTTCCAAGAAAGGGTGTCTCATAAATCTATTATGATATTTTTACAAAATAGATATGTCTCTGTTAATGGGACTGGAACTGTGATACATTCTGGCATGTGTAAATGAGTGGTCTGCGCATTAATGCTCATTGATTCAGTTAAGAATGATGATCTCTTATTCTCACCTCAGGCAAATTGTATGAGGAGAAACATTAACAGTTCCATGTGGTTGGGAATATTTAGTTTCACAACCAACACTTGTGGGGTAAGAACATTGAATGCTGTGTCTTTTTAAAGTTGCTTAAGGGAATGAGGATTTACTTAGATGAAATATAGGCATTGATGAAAAAGTGGATGAAGATAATAAAATATAGCTATTTTATAGTTACCATCCTTATACTGCTGCAGATCCATCGAATTCCAGGCTCTCTGGGATGTCATTTCTTTCATACTCTGAAGCTGAAGCTAATTCAGACAATAAAGGGGAGCAATTTATTCTTGTCAAAAAATGAACACACGAATAGTTTAGTGACATAAAATCAGGCTCAGCAGCACACAATGTGACTCTGTTGCAATACAAGTTGCAATTTTTCACCTAGTGGAACACAAAGAATAGCAATTTCTGTATCTTATTAAAACAAGAAGACATGTAATTGATGCTGGATGCCAACTAAGGCAGGAAATCTCTGACTTTCCATTCGCTCCAAAGTTGGGGGATACTTGACTATGGTCAAAGTGGGCGTTCAGTCTATGAAGTGCAGTATAGCTTTGCTGGAGTACAGAGAAATTGTGTTAAGCAATGATATGTGGGCTGATTGATCTTGACATTTTATTAGCTGAGAGGAAAGGTTAGAGTCATAGCCAGAGCGTTTTTTGCACAATACTGTACCCACTTTTCCTCACGTCCAGTCTATCTTTATTATTATTGCCTTTGTATTCTGTAACTTGCTTGTTGTAGAGAATTATATACAATTTGAAAATAAGAGAATCTGGCATTTTAAAGGAACTGGATTAAAAGTTATTGTCTTCTCTTGCTCTTTACTTTTTTGCAAAAGGATGCACGAGAACTTCTAATTTTATCTTGTTCCCTGTGGTGAAGAGGACAGTTTCTGCTCTGTGCCAGCTGTATTCCCACCAGGAATTTGCCATGTGAGCAATCCTGAGCAGCATTCTTTGTCCGGTTCCTGGACTGCACAGTTAGACATAATTTTCTTTTCAGAAATATTTCCACTGCATTTTCAAACCATTCAGTAGCATTGGGTGCTGTACGAGTTAACATTTAGCATGCATTGCAATGGGAAATATAAAGTCCCACCAACTGCAATGAGGGAATGAATAAATGCCCAATTAATCTGCCTTTTCCGGAATTTGGGTTGGAATTTATGCCAAAATAGGAAGGAGCTGAGTAGATTTTTGTTTATAAATTTAAGTTACAAATGGAGTAAGGAGATGGTGAAAGGCCTTTTGTTCATACATTCTTAATAACTAATTATCATAAGCCATGTTTGTTTGTTTAGGTAAAGGTTGATAGAAAGGGATGTGCAAATAATTTTTATCAAGATCTCTCTTGCCCAAAATTTAAATGCAACCAAATAACTGTTAACAAAGGTTAGTGACTTCAGATTATAATTGTTAAGCAAAATGCATAATTCAAAATTAGGTTGTGGGTTCACACCACAGATCAATCTCTGCTTTGAAAGAAATCCAGGTTAAATGTACAGAGAATAATAATCTTGCTCTTTCAAGGATTTGGTTGAAGCTGATTTCAAATTACAATGCCAAGCTGTTGCAGTCTTTGGAAGTGATCCATGTATTTGCTCATTCATTATATGAAAAAAAATTTCCATTCTTCACTAACTTGTGGCAGTTTCCTGACCCTTGGCTCAGTCAGCAGTGGGGCCTGCCTCAGGAAACAATTATGTTTGCAATTGGTTGTTTCAGGAAAATGAGATTTTGAAGACCCGTGAAGTTTGAATTCTGCATAAAACATAATCACAATAATTTGCTTGGAATGTTGCTGCCCATTGCGCTACAATATGTATTGTGGCGGGGTTGGGTGGGAGGGGTGGGGAGTTAAAAATTATAATGCAATTATATCAGGCAAAGCAGAAAAAAGCCATGAAATATTACAGTTACAACTTCTTATTCAAAGTACAGTATGTCACATTGTGATAGACATTTTGCCTGGCTTCAGGAAATGTAATTAATGTTTTCAACCGTCGCAAGCTGTATCAGTAAGCAAGGATCACATTGTTACTGGAAACACTTTCCTTGAGGTCAGATCCTTTCTCTTTGAAAACTTATATCATTTTGAGAGTTGCATCTTCTAATCTATAGAGTCAGTAGGGAAATAAAAATGTCAAGATCATGCTCCCAGTCTCCCCCCTCCCTGCCTCAATAAGGAGACTATTACCAGTTCCCACAACAATAATACACTAAAACTTGCAAAAGTCTTATCTTTAT